TACTTATGAAAATCATGCTTGACCAATGTCCTTAGGGAGCCCCCTCGGCCAGAGAGCGTGTCCTTATGTGTACTATGTGTCTGCTACTGTGCCTCACACTTCGAATATATTTTTCTCATTTAACTTCTCAAAAATCCTCAAAGAGGAGGGGCAGAGTCTGCCTGACAAATTGCTCTCTTTTCAAGGAATCACTTTAATACATACATAAGGGCAAGCCCCTTTGTCTATCCTAGGTGACTCTGCCCACCTGGACAAAGGTGATGAATGAAGAGTCTGATATATTAAACCAAAGTAAGTCAAATTCTTCCTTTTAAAAGTGTAAGAACTGAATGAAAAAACCCAGAACTTAAAGGACAGGGAAGCTGATTCACTTCAATAGCAATGGCTTGGGGCTCCCAGTGCTGCCCTGTTTCTGCTTCAGCGGTGCACCTCTTGACACCTTCACCCGACAAGTGCCTTCCAGGAAATCCCTCAGTGAGCCCCCCTTCTAGACCCTGTTGGCCACAGGCCATTGTGTAACTCTCAACCACTAGTAAGAATTAGTATCAGAATTTCTTAGATAAGGAAAATGAGACTTAGAAAAATAAGTCGTGGTTTTACATCCTTCAGATAGTAAATGGCAGAACCAAGATCAGAACTAAGGTCCATGTAATTCTAAAGCTCGTGCAACTAACTACTAAATCCTTCCTCTAAGTACTCTACTGCAGGCCATTGTTATTCTACAGATAGACTTATGCTGAACCTTATTAATGTTCTTGCTTAAATTAATAAAAAAAAGAAGCCTATGCTTGGAAAAAGCAATCCACAGAAGAGAATTAGCAGCTGTCTGTCTCAAGCTGAAGCCGGAGTCCACAAGGAACTCAAGTACTTAGCCTTGCTGTGGGCAAAGGAGCTTCACCAAGTGAATTGAATCGCTGGGCTACCCTGGCAAGAGAAAGGTTCCTACGTCGTCTCGAGACAACATATCATGTCTTCTCAAGAAAGAAGAACTTCAGACCAGATTAAAGGCAAGTTAGAGGGTCTGCTTCGTTGGGGAAGACTTCACAGGATACCAATCCAGTAGTCAGATGTCAAGACTGGCAGTTACGCATCTTCACAGGTAGTAGAAACACTTCTGAGAGGAAGCCAGCCATCGATTTTTGACTATAGAAGAAAGATGCCCAAGAAAGTGCCTCCTGGTCTCCTATACTTATGGTTCCCAGTTCTTTTCCTTTTCCCTTTTTCTACGATGGACACCCCCAGCCAAAGCACTTGTCTCTTTGACCACTTACTCTCTTTGCTCGGGGACCTTGGGCTATTTTCATCTAGGGACCTGGGGCTTCTACCACTGTCCTTTTGCTTTAAATACCAATTTCCTGCTTCCCATTTATGACTTCTGCATTTTATATAAGCACTGGCCTCTTTCTAACACTACCATTCCTGTTGTAGGGCCGAAAATTCCCAAGGGACATACCCCACACTGAATCTCAAGATACCATACAATTTAGATTAGATGGCGAACAGAGCCAAGGAATTACATTAGGCTTATCCCCTGAAGTACAAATGATCAACCTCAGGCTTTGGGCTAAGGCTCTAGACAAAGAAAAAGAAAGGGAACAGTCAACTGAATATCCAGGTTGACGTTGTTAGTGAGTGAGAGAAATATATCTTAATCCAAAGAGGCTAAAGCTCTGTATAAAGAGTGATGTCAAACATGCTTCTGTCACCAGTCTTCTGTATTCAGAAGCGTCTACAGTCAATTCTAAGGATCAGAGGTTGAGAGAGACCACAATTTTTGTTAGACATAGAAACCCAAGATATCCAAGAAATCTGGGGTCTTTCTTTCAACAATCTCATGCCCCATATAGAAGGGGCCACCACCACCCACCCCTCTTGTATCCCTGTATTCCTCAAGGGACATCTGGTTTAATGTCTAGCACCCTTTGTTTTCCTGGAGGACCATGAACTGATAAAAACAAGCAAACAAACAGACGACGTGGTGTATTTTCACATTCCCAGTACCTAATCCTGTGCCTGGTGTGACTTAGGACTTCAATAAGTACGAGAAACAAAGAAAAGATACCCCAAGTGTCTATAAGGAGAAGTCAGTTTCAAGAAGGGAAAACAATGCCATTGGGAAGCTCTATTTTCTTCACTGGAGATGTGGAGTTCTATCACTTTTACACTCCAATGATTCATTCCGAACACGGTGTCAGGAACAATACAGGGGCAAAAAAACAATTAGCGGGGGAACAAAACAATCAGCCAAACCGTCTGGGATTTGAGCGATGTGTAGATCAAATGTCTTGAATTTGCTGGCTCCTTCTCATTTGGTCCAGAATGGACGACTGTTGGCTTCACTGTACCAGGAATAATTGTCCCTCATATATCCCCAATCAGCTGCCTTTTAATGACGAGTCAGAAGTGGCAATGTGAAAGCTGCAGTGACTTTCATTGTACTTGGCAAATCTTGGACTGGCTCCCATTGTTTCGTCCTTGGAATAGGTGAGCTCAGACACCTTGCACTGCAAGCTGAAGGCATTGCTGCTGGTCTCCAGCAACCATCAGGCCCCAAGTCAAAAGAGATCCAAGAGGAAGAAGGAAGATGTCTAAAGTGACCTTCATCTCTCACACTGACTTTGTAGACAGCAGAAGTTATGAAATAGTTTGGCTTCCACCAAAACTGACTCATGCATCATAGAGGTCAAATGACCTCTCTATCTTTTCAAACTAGCATCAGGGTGGGCTACTGTACACAAAGATTTGCAGAGTCCAGAGACTGGAAAACTGACCAGCTCCATCTGGCCTCTTTCTGTTCTGGCTGGCTGCCTCTCTATTTCCCCCGGTTTCTGGTTGTTGGTTCTTTGAAAATACAGTAGGCCTGAGCTTAAATGCCATAACCTTTGAGAAAAAGCCCTCTCCATCCTTTGGCCAATGACTGTTTATCTGACTAAAGGAGGTTTCAGTCCTTCGGAAATGTACCGTACTTCATAATGCAGTTGACCTCATCAAAGCTTCTCCTTAAGGGCTTCGGGCCGGTCACCTAGTGCCTGCTCCAGGTTTGCCCTGGATCACTTCCTAGTGCCAGGCTCTGAGGATTGGACAGCTCCAGCCACAGTGAGCCTCCAGGGACAAGCCTCTGCATGACCCACCTCAGAAATGTCCTCTGCTCTCTGAATCTCCGTGTCCTTCTCGGTTCGTTCATCACCACCACCCACCTCAATGCTCTGTGCCATCTCATTGCCACTTCCTTGTGGGTGTGCCAACTACTCAGCTAAAGACACCGTAAGCCTCGTAGTGGCACATCTACGGCTCTTCTGAGATGTCATCCCCTCAAAGGCTATGCTAGCCCTATGTGTCCAGCAACAGCTGGATTCCAAATGTATTCTATTGTATCGAATAAAAAGTGATAAGCCATGGAGAGCCATTGTAGTTCTTTCTGCTTGGCTTGTAAAAAATCAACCCAACCTCACTCCCTAGACAGCTCTTAGTTTGGAATCTCCTTGTCTTGATTTCGTCTCACTGCTTGCTTTGATTTTCCCCATTTGCCCAAGTTGTGAATTCAGGATAAATGTAAGATGCTAAAGCAATGAATGGAAATGTACGTTGCCCAGCATCCTGGCCACTCCCTCTGGATTGGCACCTATGTTCCATGAGTTGGTCTCCATCTCGCCAGCCCCTCTCCTGCCTTTCTCCACATCTTCTCCGGCATTCGCTCAGCTCCGCAGCTGAGCCGTGGCTCTTCCCTTGTCCCTCCCAAACCTGTGCGTGTTCCCCTACTCCACTCTCCCGAGCCAAAGCCGACTCTTAATCCACGCTTCCTCGTGGACACTTCTCCCTTCGGGAAGCATTCTTTGAGTTCATTTAACACCACAAGGAGCATCGGGAGGGCCACACAAACTTCTCTAAACCTTCCCTTTACTGAAAACAATGATCACAGTACTAATCAGCAACACTGGGAAACCCATCCAGTTGCCATTGACTCAATTCTGATTCATAGCAAGACCTATGGAGAACTATCTTCCATAGAGGTGTGACTGGCTGAATGTTTATCTGCATCTCTTTCTTCCTGAGGGGCTCTGGGTGGACTTGAATGTTCAATCTTTCAGGTAACAGCTAAGAGCCCTAGCTGCTTGAACCGCGACTTTGTTCACCATGTACCAGGCAATTATTAACTCATTGCCTCCTCATCCCACTCTTGAGAGGTGATGATCTCCATTATATCTCAAAGATCTGATTTTGGTGACAGCTCCATTATAATCTCCATGAAGGCCAGATTCCTCGCCCAGCCTGGCCCCCAAGTCTATGCTCGCAAACAATACATCACACTTCTCTTATCAAGTCTTTGGTATTCATTTAGTGAATGACCAAATATTCTACTTGGAGGCAAAGCTCCATAGGACAGGGTCAGGTCTGTGTCGTTGAGCACTGGCTTTCTAAAGCCAGTAGCCAGCACACTCAAACCCACTGCCAACGAGTCTATTCCAGTGTATCGGACCCTATACGGCACAGTAGAACACCCCTGTGGGTTCAGGAAACTGAAAATACTTCTGGGAGGGGAAACTTCATCTTGCTCTGTAGAGCAGGGCTCGCTGGTTTCGAACTGCTGAGCTTGTGGTTAGCGGTCCAACAGCCACCAGTGCTCCTCAGCCGCATGCAGAAAGCATTACAGAAAGCATTACAGTGCGTGGGTTAAAGGGATGAATGGGTCAGCGAAGCCCATCAAGAATCCCAAAAAAGAATTCACTGCCCTCTCTAAATAGATGTCCGACACGTATTCAAAATTAGTGGTTTCATGATCATAGTATTTATTCTAGTCAATCTGCCTTTCTGCATACCAACTCTAGCCAGCCAGCCAGATCTAGTAATTCCACATCAGACGTGGCTCACGAGCCATGGAGCAGTGGACCCGAGAAAACTTCTCTGAGGGAAAGGCAGCCAGGGTTGGTGCCAAGGTTTGGACTATCCAAGATCCCACCGTGGGCCTTAGCTACGTAGCTTGCCATGTGGGCAGGACTCACCCCTCTCGCAGGTCCGTCCCCAGTAGCCAGTGCCCGTGCAGTCACAGATGAAGCGGTTCCAGCCATCCTTGCACACTGCGTTGTTCTTACAGGGGTAGCTGTCACACTGCTTGGCGCTCATCCGGGAGCAAGAGGACTTGACGCCCGCGGCATTCTGCATCTCCGCCAGCTGACGGATGTTCTTGCTACGCCCATCGATGAACAGGTCGCGGATGCAGCCCACGTAGCCGTAGTTCAGCATGGCGGTCCAGAGCTCAGTGGGGAGGATGAGGCCGGCGCGGTTCTCCGGGAGCCCGCCCAGGTACATGTCGCCCTCCAGATCCAGGATCTCACTCTCCCCACTGGCGGTGAAAGGTGTGCGCCTGCTGTTCACTGATATGGTACCTGGGGAAATAAGAGGTACACAGAATGAGCTAACTGTCCCTTGGCCTCCCAGGGGACGCCACCACTCAAGGAATAAAACAAAAGGGCCCCAGGCGGTGAGCTTCAAGAACAGCTGGGCTGGGCCAGGAAAGGCTAGGGCAGGCAAGGGAACAGAAAGATGGGGCAGCAAGAAGGACCACGTGCACCATGTGGCTCCCATTTCTGCCAGCTAGAGCTCTCTGACCCAGAGAAGGCCCAGGAACATTCAATGGCCCAGTACCTAGGCTAGCTTTTTTTTTTTTTGTCTACCTGAAAGTTGTGGATCTTGAAAGGATATCCTACACACTGACAGCAGAGAATGTGCCTGTGCTTAACACCCGGCTCTATCTGACCATCATCCCCGTGCCAGCAGGTCAGAGTTGAGTGGCTCGGTGTTGCTATGATGCTGGAACATTGCCACCCATATTTAAAATACCAGCAGGGTCACCCAAGGTGGGTGTAGGTTTCAGGAAAGTGTTGAGACTCATACCGACTGGGAAGAAACTCCTAGCTTGCTCACTTCCTTCCTTCCTTCCTTCCTTCTTTCCTTCTTTCCTTCTTTCTTTCTGCCTCCAAACCTTTGCCTATGAAAACACGAGCGATGGCAATACAATCATGCCTGACTCATTCGTTTGGGACATGTCCTCAGGAAAGAGCATCCTGAATTGGGCATGGGAGACGGGCCTGTTGGAGGGGACCAGTCCCTGCAATGCGGTTGGGCATGGGAGATGGGCCTGTTGGGTATGGGAGACGGGCCTGTTGGAGGGGACCAGTCCCTGCAATGCGGGACCCCACCCAGGCAACGAAATCGCCAGGATGACACAGGCCTGGGGCAGTGCTTTGTTTTCCACATGGCTGCCATGATGGTGTGCATCTATCGTCCATCTTCCTACCTTCCAACCTATCCATCTGTCTCCCATGACACAGCTGGGTCATATCATGGTATACAAGAGAGCATCACAAAGTTCACGGAAACTTTGCATTTCCTCTTAATTCCATTGTTTCCACAAACATTTTAAAAGCCCTTGTAGGTTCTCACACTGTCCAGGACAGAGGAAAGGCTCTTTGTGGACCTGAGTCTTCTTCAGTGGTCATTATCCTCCACCAGATGTGATCTGCTTTGGCTTCACCACCCCATGCACTGATACCACCTGGCTGGACTGGCCACCCACTTTCAGCTCCTCCAGGGGGCATCCCAGAGTATGACCATTGCTGAATGATCACTGAAATATGCTTATTTCTTTTTTATGTAGCAACTATGTATTGAACATCTCTAGTGTCCCTTAGGTTGTCCTAGGCACTGAAGATAAGGGTGAAACTGATAGGCATATTGCTGCTCCCACAGAGCTGAGACTCCAGAGTGGAGGCTCAGAAAACAGACTAGCCAATCAGTGAGAGGGCTTAGCGAATGGCAGGTTCTGTGAAGAGAACCAAACAGGTGCTGGGGTACCAGCCTAGGGGGTTCTACTTCAAGTGGAGAGCCGGCTAGGGCCTCTGTAAACTGAATCAGGATGGTGGGAAGGATGCAGGCATGCAAAGATCAGAGCAGAGGATTTGTCAGACACCTACAAAGATGCTGAGGAAGCAAGGAAGAGGGGAGACAAGTCTAGGCGATGAGTTTGCATGTGCTCAGGGCCTGGCAGAAGCTGGGTCCTGGCACTTTCAAATGAGAGAATACGAAGCCCAAAGCTTGCCAGAGAATTTGGGAACTGGGGTCCTAGTCTTAAATGGGTTTTTTACCCCAAGCTGGTATCCCTGAAATACTTGTTGGTTCCGGAGCTTGAACTACAACATTAAGGAATTGGATTTGGTGGCATCTCATGATCATGCCAGAAAATTTAAAATATACGTATTTATTCATCTTAAATGAAGGTGTTTATTGGTACCCAGACAGCTGGGTCTGCCATATTCATGCTGCTTCCCCTTTCATGCAGATTCCGCACCCTTCGGGTCTGAGGGGTGAGACCCGAAGAACTGAGGGGACCCACTGAGATCAGAAATGGGAAGCACCATGTGCATGATGATGCTGACACCCCAGTCTTAAAGACATGTGCTCCATGGGGGAGGGCTAAACCACAAGCTGCCTTCATGGGTTCTCACCCAGAAGTTTTCTTCTAGAGAAATCTGCCTTCTTTTCTTCTTCTTGTCATTTTGAACCTTTCCACACACACACAGAGCAAAAACACTGCAAAATGCCATCAACAAATGACTAAACAAAGTGATGCATATGCATCCCTTGGAATCGTTTTGAGCTCATAAGAGAAAAGGCATTGTGGATACATTCCCCATCTGGATGAACCCTGACAATGTTATGCTGAGGGAAATAAGTCAGGCACATGTTGTTGTTGTTGTTGGGTGCCATCCAGTTGGGTTCAACCCATAGCTACCCTATGCACAACAGAACGAAGCACTGCCCAGTCCTATGCCATCTGCACAATTGCTCCTGTGCCAGGTTCCAGGCACATAAGACAACTATTACTATAACTCAGTGGTTCTCAACCTGTGGGTCGCAACCCCTTTGGGGGTTGAACGACCCTTTCATGGGAGTCGCCCAATTCATAACAGTAGCAAAATGCAGTTAGGAAGTAGCAACAAAAATAATTTTATGGTTGGGGTGGGGGATTGCCACAACATTAAAGGGTGGTGGCATTAGGAAGGTTAAGAACCACTGCTATAACCCTACTTACATGAAATTTCTAGAATGAGGAAGAGAACACATGTATCCTGTGGTTATCAGGGGCTGGAGGAAGGGGAAATGGGGAGCCATTACCTCTCGGATACTGAGCTTCTGTTTGAATCGATAGAAAATGTAGAAACAGAAAATAGTGAAGGCCCCATGACATTGTGATCATCATTAATATCACTGAATTATATTAGGAAAGATGGTTGACACGACAAGTGCTTTGTTATATATATTTTAACACACACACACACACACACACACACACACAAAATACACATTTTTAAAAAGCACAACACTAATGATGTCCCAGACACCATTTTCAGGATGCTCTGAGCTCTTTTGGACCTTATCTTCACAACCATCTCAGGAGACAAGTGTCAAGATGTTCGCTATTTGACACACAAGGACACTGAGAGCTGTAGTTCGTATTGTCTTCTCTCTCACACAAGTTGTCCCTGGGCCCTCTGTCCTCTCCACAGAACACTTAGCCTACCCACTTCACGGGAGGGGCACCCCGGAGAAGTTCGGACAGAACTAGAACAGATTTATATTTGGGAACCTTAACTATATCCTTCGAAGAATCTGTCCGCAGGGGTGGGACCAGACTTACTTTTGAAGACACACATTGAACCTGGAAAAGCACTTCCCCAAGAAGGGCACGATCAGCAAAGTTTGCCTAGATCCTCTCTCCGTCATTCTCAGGGAAGGGTGGGACGCATTTAAGCCCACACTTGTATTTCTATGGCTACTTATAGATGCAAAACTGAATCTATACGCATAGATTGAAAACTAAAAACAATAAACCACATGAGGAAATGGAATTTAAAGGGTTTTATTAAACATAAAGTTTTATTGTTTTCATGGGATACTTACTGGTTTACACAGCAAGTTTTTGTAGGCTTTGATTAAATTCATCAGTACTGGCTGTTGCTTTGATTAAATTCATCAACTGGCTGTTGCTATAGTTCCCAGGTAATAAGTTCAAGGCTTCTGCATTAGAAACATATCCAGGGACTACAAGCCCATGGATAGTTGTAGCAGAACAAAACAGCTACCCTGCTTGTCAAAGCAGTTATGCAGGGGAACCAAGCAAGCAATCGAACAAAAAGCACATTTAAAAAATGGAATGTGACCATTGAATGTGCGTTAGCCTGCCTGTGACACAGAGGGACAACTTCTAAGCTGGGTGAAAGCCTAGAGAAGCGTGACACCAAACCACCCACTCTGGTCTGACTCCAGAGACCAACGACATGTGGTATGATAGCAACTGACCCGAGGTTTTTTGGGGGAATTCTGGGACAGATTTCAGGATCTGCTTTGTATTTCAAGGATAAACTCAGGGAGATAGAATAGATAGGAAAGAAAAAAGGATGGTGGGAGGGAGGCAGGAAAACAGGAAGAGAGGAGAAGAGAAAGAAAAGGGAAGATGGGAAGAGGGAGAGAAGAGGCGAGAGGGAGAAAACGAGGGGGGAAATAAAAACAGAAAAAAAGAGCAACAGCTTGATTTCACCTTCAGATAAATTAATTTTGGGTGTGTTTCTGTTTCATTTTGTTTTGTTTTTAAGCACAAACTGTTCTTTCTTGCTCAACAAGCACATTTAATTTAGAGCCTCTTGGTTCCGATCAGAATTCAGGCAATCGATAAAGCTGCTTGCTGAGCAATAAACCATCCAGAGCTGCAATCTGCCACCCGGCTGCCCTCTGCCCAGGGCCATCCAGCTCTTCAAAGGGCAGTGATACCCACCATCACCACCTCTTGAACTTGGGGTCTGTGCAAAACAGCCATCCCACCAAAGCACTGCCATTCCTGGCTGCGGCTTTGGGGGGTACCTATTTATGGACCCAAATGTACCCAGAAATAAAATGTGCAAAGGGCCACCTCTCAGGGCTTCACTGAGAGAGGCAATCTTCACAAGGAAGGCAAACAGAGCCAACAGCCTGCTTCCATTCGTGTTGCCTCAATCGAGAATCAGGAAATAAGGCTGCCGCTCAAAAATGGTAGTCACAGCTTTTAGAGACGTGCCCTTCCTGGTGGTATAGACTGTGACCTTCACAGCCACAAGGTCCAGCGAAAACTAACAGACGGTGCGGGCGATCAAAAGCTCCAGACTCTCGCTCCATTTGTGTGGGCTGTTTTTATTTCCCTCCCTCTCTCTGTGACTATTCCAGAGTGGCTGTGTACTGCCCAGGGCTAGCTTGTTTGAGCTGCGGCTGCAGAAACAAACAAAGCCATTTAAACCCAATGTAAAAGGTTATGAAGAGGAAGGGAGCCTCGGTGAGGCCTGAGCAGAGAGTGAAATATAGGCTTTCACACCAAAGGGAGGCTTAACATTGAACATGACTTCAGGAAAAATCAATTTGCCTTTTCCTTTCTTGTCATAATTTCTGCCTGCAACAGGACTCTTGCCAATTATGGAGAGGGGTTCGTCGTTGCATGAACTCGTGCACAGTGAAGCTTATCCTACAGAGTGATCGCACAGTGCAGCCCCTGTGACATCACAATTGGTTTCTAAGGCAAGGAGGAAAAAAAAGAGAGAGAGAGAGGAGAAGAAAAGAGGGAAGGGGTGACAAAGCACCATCTCATGAGTGACACGGTATTTGCTTTGGTCACGGTGGTCAGCTACATGTACAGTCATCATTGTTAGGTCCCAGCTGTGGGGCTGTCGCTGCAGAGGATGGTTGGGGGAGTGGCTGGGGCGAGGAGGGGGAGATGTGCGGGTCATCCAGCCAGGGGCTTTGTTCAGAAAGAAAACTGCACCAGGGCCATCAAAGAGAATAGCACTCCACAAGCAGGCAAGTTCAAATATTAAGAAGCACCACCTGTCTGCCCAGAAAACAGAACAGGGACAGCCACAGTGCCCCTTGTCTCAGTCCCACTCTGGGCCTTTTCCTACCTGATCGGCCATCTCGTTGGATGTCCACATGGTACCATTCCCCGTCGTTGGCCTTCTTCTGAGTGGCTTTCACCTTGATGGTGCCCGAGCCCATGTCAAGCAGCAAGTACAGGTTGCCATCCAGAAGTTCCACTGCAAAGAAATCCACTTTGGTGTTCTTCTGGCTCCGAGCATCCTTCCTCTCTTGGGGCTTGCCATGAGTGAAGAGGATCAAGCCGTTGGGCTCGGTGGTGCGGAAGTCGAAGGAGATGGAGCCCATGCGCTTGGTGTTCCACTTGGGCAAACTGATGTAAGCCTCCGGGGTCTCAAAGTTGATCGGGTCCAGGGTGGCCACATTCTCACATTTGAATACAACTTCACCATAGATTTTCATCTTGGTGTCCCCAATCCGAGCCAGGCGAGACAGCTCCAGACGGATGTCATTATTCTTATAAACAACCTGTCAAAAGCCAAATAAAAATGCCGCATGAATCAATCTTACAAACAGTAACCAGCCAATGCTCACTGGGTCCAAGGAAAAGGTCCACAAAGAGGATTCAGGACACAATGGTCTAAAAGAACAGGAGGAATGGGATCCTTCTGGGGTGCACAGGGTCCTGCATAATCCTTCCGTATCTGTGCTGGTTTGGGGTTGCCAGAAAATTACACAATATGAAAATACAAATAAAGTGCAATACAGATTAAGTTGCATATGGCACAAAACTAGGTGCAAAGAGAGTCACTGAAGTGTTTTTAGCTAGCAAAAGACTACATTAATCCAAAGTGGGAGATTGGTGTAGCCTTAGGATAGAGAACATAATCTAGTTTCAATTTGAGGATTAAGAGTGTAGGGGTGGAGTCTAGGCTGTTAATCAGGATATAGCCAATGAGATCTCTGTGTGGGCATGACCTTCCCCTAAAGGTTCTGGGAACTGCTGAATTTTTCCTCCTTGGAAGTGGGAGACTCTCTGCTCACACCGTGGGAGACATAGCAAGTGACAAGACACATGGACCCACCCTGAGGCAGCCTGGGTGCTGGAGAAGCCATGCAGAGACCCCTGCCAGTGCTGAGATGTTTCCAATGCCACTGGATCCAAAGACTTTCTACCCACTGGCCTGTGATCATCTACATTTGGTGTCATTGCATGTGTTTCATGAGTCTGAGGAGGACTTTATAGATTGGTATTGGACATATGGGCTAATGTTGTACTTATGGACTTGATCTGGACAGGGCTGGGATGTTTTCTCAATGTTCAATTGCTCTTGTATATAAATCTCTTTCTTATACACATATGTATGTCCATGGACTTGTTTCTCTAGTCTACCCAGACTGACACAGGAACTGTTTAGCTCTAAGAAGAAGCCCTGGTGGCATAGTGGGTCATACTGGACTGTTGTCCACAAGATCAACAGTTCCAACCCACCAATAGATCTGTAGGAGAAAGATGAAGCTGTCCACTCCCCTAAAGATTTAGCATCTTGCAAACTCTAGGGAGCTGTTCAACTGTGCCATGTAGCATCACTCTGAAGTCGCTATGACTGGGAACCAACTTGATGACAACGGATCCCTTTGTTTTGATTTGATAATGGTTTTGACGTGATCATGGCACATGTGGCTTGCTATTGGTTGCTCACCCACCACTAGCTTCACAGAAGAAAGGGCTGATGACCTGCTCTCCTAAAGATTACTCCTGTGATGGCTTCCACTCTACAACCGACAGGGTCGTCCTAAGGGATTAGCGCAAGGTCTGCTAAAACGAGAACCACATTCTGGAAGTCACAGTAAGGGAAATGAGCAGAGAATGACACAGACAGTGTGTATGTCATCATGTGCGCATGTGTGTAGGCCAGCTAAGCGATACATACATATGTTCGTTTATGTATAAAACTAGAAAATCAATTGCTTTCTCGGGAGAAAACTGGTATACTTAATACCAGAAATGGGAGGGAGACACTTTTCTCAGTACACTCTTGCAATGTTTTGAATTTTTTAAAAACATTAAGCTTATATTACTTTTCTTAAAAGACTGCTTATTAAGAATGACTGGGGAGAGGGACAGTTTGTTTGTTTGTTTGTTTTCCCACATTTCATGGGAAGAATGAGAGAATGAGGCAGTGTAATCCCTACACACACACACAAAGTATCACTCACTACTTCTGATGGAATCTGTGTAAAACAAATAAACCCACTGCCAATAATTTGATTCCGACTCACGGGAGTCCTGGTGGCATAGTGGGCTACATGCTGCTAATGGGTTACATGGCTGCTAATGGGTTACATGGCTGCTCATCCCAAGGTCAGCAGTTTGAAACCACCCATCTCTCCATAAAGAACTAAGGTCTCAGGGGGGGGCGGCAGTTCAACTCTGTCCTCTCGGCTCACTAGGATGAATCAGGGATTCATTCTGTTCCCCCAGATTAGAATTTCAAAACACTTTTGCCGTTACTTGAGCTGAATTCTGGTGCACTTCTCTGGGGTGGCTCTTAACTCTCAGAGCCCTGGGTCCTGTCACTTCTGGACAGAAAGACTAAACAGGAAAAATGAGGTAGAAGAAGAAGGGCTAGCATCTTCGTATTGGTTACACCAACCACCCTGTTATGTCCTTTACGTTATCACACTCAGATTTTGCCCAACTTAGGACCCAGATATAGGACTGAAACCCACAATCTGTGTGCCCCTTCCAGGGTGATTTAAGGTCTTTGGGCACATTTTATCATTTGACAAGGATAACAATGAGAGTTGTCTGTTTTGTAAGGATTCGATGAGCTACTCTGTATTAACATGCTTGGAGGTGGCACCGAGCAAGGACCACAGCAGTTTCAGCCACTGCACCGGTCTGTTGTTGTCAAGCCTCCTTTTATTCCATCACAGTCTTACGAAGGTTGTATTAGCCTCCATGTTCAGGAGAATAATAAGACTTAGGCGCATCTCAATTAGAAAATCTGCTGAATGGAACATTTCAACTTCTATCACTGTATCCCCAATATCCAACTCTAGAACTATCTTTCTCCTCTCCACCACCACTGCATGTCAAATTAAGTTGTTTTGCTTAGTAGTAATTAGAAGGGTGGTAAATAACTCAGACTCAAATTTCACTGCTACTGAGTTGATACTGACTCATAACAACCCTATACAACAGAGTAGAACTATGCCTGTGGGTTTCTGGGACTGCAACTCTTTATGGAAGTAGGAAACCTTATCTTTCTCTTACAATGCGGCTGGTGGTTTTGAACTGCCAACCTTGCAGTTAGCAGCCCACTACATAACACATTACACAGGTATTGGAAATGTCCCACCTAGTATATGTCATTGACCAGAGACAGTAACACAGAAAATACTGAAGACAGCAACATGTAGTTAGAATTTACTCTAAGCCAGGCACTGTGCTGAAGACGATGTCCATCATTCCATTAGATCCCGTCTGCACCCATTGAAATACCTGCCCTCATTCCCCTATGGAGAGATTTAAAGTTTATTGTGCCAACCTGGGCGATAAACACATGTGGGGTCAATTGAAGGGCAGAGAGATAAAGGGCTTGGTGAGCCTCACCTTTCTAGTGCTCGGGTCTCTTGCTTTGTGATGGTCAGACCAGGGTGCAGCTGCCTTAGCCAGTTTCCTGCTTCAGCTGGCAAGGCTCACTTCCGGCAAGACATCCCCAAAATGAAGCCACATGGACCTACCCTGATGCAGCCCTGGGTGTTGGAGCAGCCGTGCGGAGACCCCTGCCAGCACTAAGATGCTTACACATTCACTGATTCGGTTTTCCTCCTGCAGTCAGCGTCATAGTGTGTGTTTTTTGAGATGGAGGAGGACTTTGTGGATTCGTGTCAGACATATGGGTTAATGTTGGACTTGTGGGCTTGGGCAGCACTGGGTTGGGATGTTTTCTGGGTATGCACTTACCTACCCTTTATATAAAACTCTCTCTTATACATATGAGTTTCTGTGGATTTTTTTCTCTAAAGTACCCAGACTAACACACCTACGAATACCGAAAAGGAGACAGACAGAAGTTTCTGCATCAGTGCACCGGCATGCAGCTTATCAGTGACAGGGCAAGACTTGAACCCAGGGAGTTGGGCTCTAGAGCCCATGCCCTTCATCCCCATAGATGTGCTTAACCATAAGCCATTACCAGCACCCGTGAAGCTCAGCTCAAATACTGGGTGAGAGGTCAGGCATACCCACCTTCCCAGATTCCACCCAGTCAAAAGCTGAATTGCGCATCTTAACCTGTCCATGAGAGATCACGTGCAAAGGGGAAACACTGCGAGATCCTCAGACAACTACTCAATGGATGGCACCAGAAAGCAACAATACATATTTCACATCACGCAACTCCTCTCTTTCTCACTGCCGCTCCTATGCCTCAGCAAGTGAGGTCGATCCTCTGTCATGCCCAAACTTTGGCTTCCTCTGCATTTGGGCTAAACAACTCAAACTCCTTGTAAAGGTTAATTATTGATGTATAATAATAGCTCATCCCACAGGGAAAGACCCAGTCTGCACTCCATTGAACAGTAAATGACGAAGGCCCGGGCATCCCTGCAGGAGACCAGAGGCATAATGGAGAAAAGAAAAAGTCCTTTCAAAGGGATGCAGCTGTCTGGATAGAGAGACGCTTCTGTGAGAGGAGGTTTCGCCAAGACTGGGTGGATGGTGAGTAACTCGAACACAGCTTTCTGATATGGACAGAAGAATCCGAGCCAGAAACAAAACAGACAAGAGGTAAGATGGTTTCTCCCAAAGGCCGACGAAAGGTGAATCTCCTATCTACTCCTAACTCTGCAATCAGTTATTTGTAAGGAGTCCTGGTGGTGTAGTAGTTAGGCGTCAGGCTGCTAACTGCAAGGTTTGCTCAGGAGAAAGAAGAGGTTTCTACTCCCGCAAAGACTTATGGTCTTGGGAATCCATAGGGGAAGTTCTAACCTGTCCTCTAGGGTCACCATGAGTTGAAATTGCATCGATGACAATGAATTGAATTATTCTGCGTTTCAGAAGTCTTGAAAGAACAGTGGGTTTTGTGTTGGGCTGTTAACCAAAAGATCAGCAGTTCAAACCCATGAGTCACACCAAGAAAGTTGAGGCTGTGTATTCAAGGAGAGACTTCTAACCTTAGAAACCCATTGAGCAGTTCTTCTCTGCCCTATAGGATTAGTTGAGACCAGAATCAACTTGACGGCAGTGGGTTTGTGTTTATGGTAAGTTCCTACCATGTTAACACAAGGATTCTTCAACCTGTTTAGGCTTAATAATTTATAAACTGACCCCTTACTTCTTAGGGCTATTGCCAAGATCAAATGGAATGCATTTATGATACGGTTTAGAAAGTTCTAAGTGGGTACACAAGCCTAGGAAGAAGTGATTACATATCTTCACCTCCAGTATTAGGTATTCACCGAACAGAAGCTTGAACTGAGGTTCTGCTGAGGGTTTTCTATCCAGAAGAAAAGGATGG